TTTTATTTTATTTTGGTTTTTCTCCGGTACTGGGAACCGAACTCACGACCTTGCGCTTGCCAGGCAGGCGCTTTGCCGCTGAGCTAAATCCCCAGCCCTTACTCTGTATTTTAAATTGCACAACATCAACCAGGTGCCAGAGTTCCTCGTGTCATTTACCTTTATACCAGTAATTAACACTGTGCCTGTTGTTTTTTTAGATGACAATGTGAACATCATCTACATCTGCTCCCACCCTATGAACGACGAGTTAATGCTGTATTACAACAAAATCTTAAGTCTACATGCAGCCGTCAAATCGGGGAACCTTGCGGACAGGAGTGACCTGCAGCACAGGTTCAAAATTATCATCCCTGAAGCTGTAAACATCTTCACTGTGAGTTTGTCTCCTAATTACTACGGCTTCAGGGATGCAGTAAAATTAAATTGGAAATTTTATAACTTGCAACGCTCTGGTACACATCAGTGAAATATTATTGCAAGTTTAACAGCTTTACTGATTAGACTACTAGTTGGGCTGTAGGAAATAAATATCCCCGTTTAACTTGCAGACTTAGTTTAGCTACCCCTGCCCGGTTTCTCTGTAACTGAGGCCTAATTGCAGTTAGGAGGTGAAACCATCAAGTAGGTGAGCTTGTCACGTCTACCATCCCTTTTTCTTAATTTTGTGTGGAGGACATCAAGACACAGAAAGGCTGGTCACAAAGCTATTTAGGGATACAATCAGGACCAGGGCCCCCATTTTCTGACTTCCACACAGGTATTCCCTGTTTCTCTATAGTTTTTTCTTCAAGGAAAGGTGGCCTGACTTACCAGGTGGTTCATAATGATCAAGGTCCTGATTTTTCCTTTTAATGAATGGAATGAATTCTAAATGGCATCCCATCCCTCGTCAGCAGTCTTCGGGAAATTCATGGAACCATGATGGCAGTATTCTAAGCTAAGGCCAACCAACAGATGGCTGGCAGTGAATTGCTCTACGTTTTAGTGAGAATTTAAACATTCCACATTAAACAAACATTTTAATACCTAATGGACTATCCAATTTTTGAGAGACTTTTTTGTATAATTAAAGATTGAATTTGCCTATAAAGATAGCTCCCTCTGCTTCTTACCGAGGTGCACCAGTCAGCCGTCTGCATGCTACCAGAGAAGCTGGCTGCACGTTTCCATAGGAAGTATCTTCATGCTCAGTTGGTACCTATTAACACCTAGAATCACCTCTCAATGCACAGTCTGACAAACCAAAAAGAGAGAGGGGTGGAACCTGAGAAAGTCCTGCTATAGCTGGGAAAGACCACTACAGCATTTCTGCTTTTCTAGTGTAACCAACAAGTTGTCTTTGCCATCAAGATGAAGAGTCATAGCAGACACCTCAATATCCAGTGCCCCAAAGCTCTCTGCTCAGTTCTATTTCATTGACATCCTTGGTTGTGGAAGAGGAAAGCAAGGGAGATGCAATAAGAGAAAGGACAGGGGACAAATCATTGCCACTCATGGTCTTAGGAACCTCCTTCTATATCTGCCACCAAAGCAAGGACTTTTTTTTGGGGGGGGGGGGCTCCTAGTTGTACCCTGGGCTCAACGGCATAGTCACTGTGGACATTAGGAAGTGATGAAGGAAAAAGCCTATTAGTGTGTAGTTAAATTCCTAACCTCTCGAGCCAGAGTTAACTAATTAGTTAGCTAATGCCTGCTAGCTGCCAGTATGGAGTTTCTTCTGAAATGCCCATATGGAGTGGAAAGGTCATGGACTGGTAAGGGGACTCGTGAGAAAGAAAGTGAGCAAATTTATGAAATTCTTAACATATATTTCTCACTTGATCACCAGAACACTGCAAGACAGAAATTAGCCCTCTCCTTTTATGTCTGTGGAAAGTAAGATTCATTTTCTAGTCCAAGGTTCCCAGGAGAGCCAGAGTACAAACCAAATTCTGGCTGCTCCAGAACCCTGTAATGAACTGGAAATGACTGCTTTGCTCCTGGGTGAGCTCGCCCCTTGGGCAAGCCCCTCTACCTTTCTGGTGCTCTTTTCTTCATCTATAAAACGAGGAGATGGTTTAGATCAACCCAGAGTCCTCTCCAGTTCTACAGTCCTACTCTCTGAGATACTTACCCTTCCACTGTGCTCTTTGACTTCCGGGCAAGAGAGAGAGGCGGCTCTCCCCCACGCACCGAGGGGCCGTCAGTGGGTAGGTTTGCATCTTGGAGAGCAGAAATACAGAGGCAAGGTTTTCAGCACTTACTACTTCTCATAACTTAGATTCAAATTATCTGAGTAATTAATCACTCATAAGCAATCAACTTTTTTAAATACAAAAATTAAACTCTCACTTTCAAATCCGTTTCTGTTCATGTTGAGCTATTGCTTTATTTCTTTTTAATGGGTTTGAGAGATTGTATCAGTGCTGATTTTCATTCAAATGGATGGCTTTGAGGAGATTTTTAAAAGCGTGCCAAAATCTGTTTGTACATCTCCCCGAGATACTATACAGTACTTGAATCTGTAATGGTAAAATGGGCTCCAACAAAGCCATCGTATCTATTTTTGGATAATTTTGATGTTTATGAAGACATCCTAAACAACTACCATTTGTCTCAGGTCAAAAGAAAATATCAGGGGTGATAAATTAAATGTAGCCATCACCCAAGGCAATTAACATTTTAGATTTTTGTCATCAGTGTTAATCTGCTGCCTCAGTCCGATGGTACCGATTTTCTCTAAATGACACACAAGACCTGTGGTCTGTGATGTGTCCTCTGCCATCACTTGCTCACATTTAAATCTTTATTAAATACATTTAACACAATGCTATGGTGCTATGTTGCCCGAAGTATAAGGCATGCCTACAGATGATTATAATATAGAGCTGGGGAAAGTACTTGCCAATAGAAATAAGCACTTAGAAGAGACAGAAATCTACCCTGGCTGAAAATGTGGCCCAAACTTTAGCCTGAGTTTCTATTGCTGCATCTGCCATCCCCTCACCACAGCTCATAAACTCACCAGCACCAGACCCTCCCTGCTCGCTCTGTAAGATGAGGGCGTGGTGGCACAACGGCGTATCACTTGGGCTAAGTGGATTGGAGTGCTGCCTCTGCCATTCACTAGCTGTGTGACTCTGGGCAAATCACTTGAGCCTCAATGTCCTTGTTTCAAAATAGGACTGTTGATGGAGTCCACGTTCCCTGAACTGAATGAGAACGTGGGACTAAGGCTTTGACCTTGTTGGTTTACCAGGAGAGGATAGAGTACTCTTCCAGATGCTCTGAAAAGCCCACTATGGATATAGGAACTCAAGTCATTAAGTCCCCCGGATAGATACTTTTTTTTTTTTTTTTTTTTTTTTTACATTTCTTTATTGGAATAATTTCTAGGAAAAGAAAAGCATGAAATAAAGTAGGAGGAAAAGCAATAACTAGCTAGATGGGAAACAGATCCCACCAGATGTAGACAGTTGCCATTGACTAATAAAACAGAGTTTCTTAGAACTAGGCTCTCAGAGTACATTTCAAAAATAAATTTGAGAGCCAGGTGTGGTGGTGCATCCCTGTAATCCCAGCACTCGGGAGGCTGAGGCAGGAGGATCCTTGCAAGTTTGAGGTCAGCCTGGGCTACAAAATGAGCTCAAGACCAACCTGAACTGCATAGTGAAATCCTGTCTCAAGCAGATAAAAATAAATAAATAAATAGATTTGAATTATGGTAGAAAAGACATATTGCGGGGCTAGGGATTTAGCTCAGTGGCAAAGCACTTGCCTGGCAAGCGCAAGGTCGTGAGTTCGATTCCTGGTACCGGAAGAAAAGACCAAAAAAAAAAAAAAAGAAAAGACATATTGCATAAAATAAAACTCTTAACCTGCAGGAAGGGCTTAATAGGTTAAATCATACAAATCTCAGAGTAATTCTATTGTTTGCCTTTTCTATTGTGGTAAGAATATATGACATAAAATTTACCATCGTAACCATTGTTAAGCATACAACTTAGCGACATTAAGCACATCCCTATTGTTGTACAACTATCATTGCCAGAACTTTTCATCACCCCAAAAAGAACTCTGCCCCACTCATCAGTAAGTATGGAAGAGCTCTTGCTTTAGGCGGAAGTTGTGTCAGAGCTGGAAGGAGCCCGGAGCCTTCTAGCCCACCCCTTCATCTGAATACAGGGATCTAAGGCTCAGAAAGAGCAAGTGTCTTAAATCACCCAGCAAGTTACAAATTCAAGCAGGACTGAGAGCCAGGGGCATCTTCCCGGTCCAGTTTTGTTTCTTCCACACTTACAAATTATACTGTACAGCAGGTTGCAGACTGGCGCTTTGGCTATTCCTGAAAACAGTCCCTCGCATTTCTCCACATTTCTACGCTAAGATGAGTCGATAATTTTTCACTAAAACTGGAAGTAGGTGCTAGTTTATAAAACCTCTTGAGTTCCTATAAGAGTCTGGTGCCTTTATATTATATTATTTGCATGATATTGTAACGGCTTTCTTTTTCTTTTTCTTTTTTTCTTTTCTTTCTTCTTTTTCTTTTTTGAGACACGGTCTTACTATGTCATTCAAGATGGCTTTGAACTTTGCTTATGTAACCTAGGCTGACCTTGAACGCACAGTGATCCTCCTGCCTCAGACTCCTGAGTGATGGGATTACAGGCGTGCGCCACCACATCAGGCTGATGGCTTTATTTTTCAAAGCATGTTTGCATTGTAAAAATAATTACTACCATTTATTTTGACCATTGACCCAATGTCAGGCATCATACTAGGTGTTTTATATTTTTGATCTTCTTTTAACCTTAAAGCAATGCAGGGTGTGGGTATTTTGACTCTCAGGTAACATATGAAGAAATGGGCTCATGGAGTACCATTTGGCCCAGGTCATGTAGTTTCTGAGAGGTAGGTACATTTTACTACCAGGTCTTTGGAATTCCAAAACCCTCGCTTTTTTTTTTTTTTTTTTTTTTTTTTTGATGCTTTCCCCTCTAGCGGAAGTAAACACAGTCTTGGTTCTAGTATTGCTTTCTCAGGTAATGTCTCTCCCATGCCCACCTTCACCTGGTAAAACCTTACTCATCCTTCACAATTCACCTCAACGCTAACTTCCGTCAGGATAATAATACCTGCTGACATTCATTAGGCACTTACTGTATCCCAGACAGTAGTATAAGTGCTTTACATGCGTTATCCCATTTAATCCTCACAGCATCCCTGTGACACAGACACTACATTCTTTTGCGGTTGAGAAAACTTGGGCTTAAGGAGAATGGGTAACTTGCCTTTACAGCTCGCTCTACCAGAATATGACCTCTGCCTCCCTCTCCCTTACCTCTGACACACTCTGTAGCCTCCTATGGCCTGATCAATCTTGCTTTAGTTATGTGTTAACTGTTCATATTTATGTCCCCGCCCCTTGAAAGCAGAAGCGTGGTTGTATTAGTTTTGGTGTGTGCTGACCATCCAGCTCTGTCCTCTGCTCCAGCAGACAGAGAGCAGCTTACTTAATTAAATGCGATAAGCACATGCATTGCTAAGTTGGATCTCACTACTCAAAATAAAATAAAAAGAATCGTGTAAAGCATTTGGGTCTTGCTGACATGTTCAAATATTTTTCTTTGTGAACCCTTTCCAGAACTGTTGGCTAGAACCACTGATCACCACTACCAAAGTACATATTCCCTGAAACGGATTTTGTGGTAGAATTCTGCAAAGAGGGTGTCAAGTCAAGTGCCTTTTTCCTACTCAGACACTTCAAGAGTTGGCAGATTGCGAGTCTATATCGTGAAGAATACCATGAGGCTTTTTTCTTCATTTTTTTGTATTGATTTTCCAGACGCTTTAGTGTTAAACCATGCCAGAAGTGCTGCAGAGATGAATCACTATTATCCAAAGGCCGCCAGCCTCTTTTCCTTCTGACAGAAGGATAATTCCACGTGGATCAAATAAATACAGATGTGTAGTAATTAGGTCTATTCCCAGTGAGCCTATTTCCAACACGCTAAAGATGTAAGCGGTTATGGAACCTCACCCCAACAGCTTTTATCAATTTAAACTGCTAAACAACGGGATAGGTCATAACCCAGCCTGCTATTAATAATGTATTTATTATGTGCACCATTATAAATTAGGCGCGTGGACTAGAAAAAGCACACCTTTTAACCAGAATAACATGCTCTCCCCCCAGACTCATCATATGTGCCTGGCCACTCACCTGATGTACAGCCCCAAGGCAATCAAAAGAATAAAAAATCTCATCCAGGGCACGGAGGCCTACATCGTGGGCGGACTCCTCCACAGAGATGATTTGGCTGTGGCTGATATGTTAAATGTACCCATCCTGGGCTCAGAGCCCGAGCTGGTTCATCTGTACAGTGCCAAGTCTGGAAGTAAGCGGGTCTTCAACAGCGCCAATGTGCCGGTCCCTCCTGGAATATATGACATCTATAGTTATCAGCAGGTATGTGAGGTGGGCGTGCCAGGCTCTGCTCAAGTGTGTCACATCCTCTTGACCTGGACAACTTCAGATGATCCGGAGCCAGCCCTATCCAATGAAGAATGTGTGAATACTGTGTTGATTTGCATTAGGCCTTCATGTTTTGAAGTTTCCTACTGGTCTTGCAAAACTTGCTGGGATTTCCAAAATATATACTCATTTGGATTAAGACACAGAAGATTCTGTTGAAATGACTTATCGTTTGGACTAATCTGCCATCAATATTTAATGCTGTAACATAGATCAGTTAATCATCCTCTCAGCCAGCCAGTAGGACCCTAAGAAACATGAGAGTCGATTTGGGCTGAAAGAAGGAGAGTAAGCCTCTCTGCCGGGTCAAATTGCAGAGGGCTACAGACACCCTTGATTCTGTTTAAAAAAAAAAAAAAAAAATACTTTGGCTTCTCAGGGCTCCAAAGGAAGGAAAGAATCCAGAAAGAGGAAGTGAAATAGCTCCAGGACTAAAACTGCTTCTGGTTTTGCCTTGGACCAAGTCTGTGCTTCTGAATCCTTCCAACAGATAGTTAGGGCCTGAAATATTTGGAGAAATACATTAGCCACTAGAAATGTTTTCCCTCTGAGTGAGCTCTGGCAGGTGTTCTCTCATTTAACTGCCATCTGTTTCCATAGTAGAGAAAATTAAAAGACAAATGGCTGTCAGCATTTCCTCACCTCTGTTTCAGTGCCTGTTTGACCGTTACTCTGAGCTAGTCACAAATTATCTCTCCTACCCACTTCTGGAGAAAGTAAAGGTCCACACACATTGGGCATTTCTGAGGGGCAGTATCAGGAATCGCCTTCTCCTCTTGTTGTCCACCCATGGTAGCCAATGAGCCCCCAGTCAAGCCTTTCAGGAGATCATGCTTTGCAGAGACTGATTTGAAGATGATGATGAGCTTATTAAATTGCTCACACGTGTTTCAGTCTTGCTAGAATGTTCCTGGCAATTCAGGGACTCACGAAGGAAGCGGAGTCTGGGAAAGGCACGAGCAATTTCAGTAGAGTGGGATGGAGCGGCTCCCCCTGAGCTGTGTGTCACACCAATGTCATTAACCTCCACTGGAATTTGAAGATGGCAATGCTTGACTCTGCTTCCCAGGAGAATTTTTCACTGGTAGAGTTAATACAAGCGAATATACTTTTCAATGACAGAATTTCGCACATCCACATAACATTAAACAACCTTCAGGACTTTAAAATCTGTGTGCAATATTTATATTGTCTTGGTTTCATCTTCACCAGTGACAACTCAGGCAGTCTTTGCTCTGCAATATTTCAGAACCTGATGTGTTAGTTGTGGTTAAAGATGTAGACACATTTAATGAGTTAAACCTCTGTCTAGTGCTAGTATTCAGAAGTAAAGCCAAAAAGCTCCTCACAGACACATCAGATTTGAGGAGTGTTATTTAGCCTCCGGTATGTACAATTCGGTAACAATAAACCAAGTGAAACTGAGTTCAAAACCAGCCTGAACTGCATAGTGAGACCTGTCTCAAAAAGACAAAAGAAAGAAAGAAAGAAAGAAAGAAAGAAAGAAAGAAAGAAAGAAAGAAAGAAAGAAAGAAAGAAAGAAACTGAGTTCTATCCTACTTGTTAAGAAATGTACATCTGAGGTCACCAAGAATTGAAGTATTCTGCTGAGCTCTTTCCTAACTCTGACATTAGGTGCCTACCCTACCCAATCGATCTGAGTGTAGCAGTGTTTCGAATCTACACATGATGATGGATCAGTAGTACTGACTTTTATTTTATTTTCTGTCTTTTTGAGATAGGGTCTCTCTGTGCAGTTCAGGCTGGCCTTGAGCTCACTTTGTAGCCCAGGTTGATCTCAAACTCACACTGATCCTCCTGCCTCAGCCTCCCAAGTGCTGGGATTACAGGCGTGCACCACCATGCTCTGACTTTTTAACCAATGTGAGTCATAAACGTGAAACTGGTAAAAGAAAGCCAGGATTATTTTAACCTAGTTTAATAAGGATTCCTGCATATTCTCTGGATTTTTCCAGTAGTCATTTTTCTACTTTTGCTCTTTACCAGTACAAAATGACTCACAACTGAAAAATATGACATATTTTGAACAGATAAGCCAAACAGAAAATGATAAATGTTTGGGAATAGCATAAAGTCATTTGGTTTATGATGAACTATTTTTTTTCTAGCATGAGCCCAGTGAGCACTTCGTGTTTGGACCCATAAAGTAACCATGCAAGCCCCCTTTCTGGCATGTGTTCCCTGTGAAATATCGACGGCTTTGGTTACATAATCAAAAATGGCAATGCTATTTTAAAGCACTGTTCAATTTTCACTTAAAGATAGCACATAATTCTTTCCAGTGGTGCAGTCTTTACAATACTATCGATCGTTTCATTACTGTAGGGGATCCATCAACAGACACCAATTTATAGGATTCTTAGAAGCAAGAAATAATAGGATTTGGAAGAAACAGATAATAATTCTGTTAGTAGTTGCAACCCCCTGATATATAATATATCCAAACATACAATAAAGAAGGCTCTGCCAGGACACCTTTGCTTAGGGTGGCAGAAGAATCTTATCTGATCTTAGTTAACAGGCCAAAGACCATTCTACTTTTGCAAAGTGTGGTCCCAATGCATATATCAAAATACGCACGTAGGATCTTAGCTTCTCAACACACTAGAAAAAGAAGGGATACAGCTTTGGAAGACACATTAGAAAGCCTTCCTAGGCCATGTTCATGTGATGTGTAGGCTTGTCCTTTAAACACCCAAATTATCTGTAGACATCACTTGATAATTAGGGAGTTCGCAATTTTATTTTCATCCTAAATGAATGCTCCAAAGTGGCCCGAGGTCTCTGAGGACCCCAAGCGTGGGCTCTTTTGGCATTTCTTGCACACTGCCACATCATGAGGCATCCTGGGAACATCTGCTGGATATAACAACTCAAGGAGACCGATTTAAAGCTATTTTAATTTTATAGATCCAATATCCACAGGACTATAGACCTTGAAACTTTTCACACTCTGTAGTTTAAAAAAAATTGAACATCTATTTGGTGAGCCAAGAAAGTCATCAGAGGAGAAGAGAATAATGTTGTGTTGCTTTCAGAGGAGTACAAACTGGAAAGTCTGTTGAGAAGACAAGACCAAAAAAAAAAAAAAAGAAAGAAACATTTTGTGACATCATGTGTCATTTCTCTCCACAGCGTTATTAGCATTCTCACTATAGATTTTTGTTGGACTTAAATGCACCCCAAATGGCTTACTGACTGTAAGCAAGTTGCTTCTCTTTCCCTGCTCTGGCTTCTACCTCTACCATCTCCTCGGCTCTTTGCAGGACGGGACAGGCAACACTGTAGAGAGGGTTTAGAGTCAGAGCGACCTGGGGCCAACCTGGGAGGAAGCCTGCTTTGTCTCTCAGTGCTGTATTCTTGTTATCATCCTCGTCATCATTTTGATGGGGAAGCTTAGCAGTCTATCCTGTCCCATAAACTTCTGTGTATTTGTGCCCATGATGAAGCGTTCTTGAGAGAATGCTGCAAATGAAGTCTAGGGTGGGTGTATATTCCAGGAAGGTCGCTTCCATGTGTGCTTTAGCTCTTTTATCTGCCTTGCCTGGTAACACACTTGGTTTAGTAAGCTGGCCAGCTGACCAGTCCCACAAAGGTATTTCATGTGCATTAATGGGGGGAAAATTAAGTGTCTTATAGATTATAACATTTAAAAGCTCAACAAAGCTCGAAACAGTTAAAGTTTTCAAGGCTATAACTCTTTATAGTCTCGAAACTATAAAAAACCATTTGAGGAATCAATAACTCTCTGAGAAAGAAAGAAACAATGCCAAGATTCAATTACAGATATTTAAAGAGTCTTTCTTTCCCCTTCAAAAGCTCACAAAATGATACTTTTAGAATTTTTCATAAATGAGGTTGTATTTTTAAGCCCGCCATTGGTCTAAGTAGTTACTGGTTTCTCCACATCCTATGTAAATCATTTTAAACTTCTCCAATCTGAGTTAATAAGTGGAGGAGAACCAAACAGAGAGGTATGTGGGGCAAGGAAGTACTGCCACCGAGACACCAAGGTGGAAAGGATGCGCCCTGTAGTAAACGGTGCTCTGTCTTCGCCCCCGCAGATGATAGAACAGCTGAGCCAGATGGTGACCGATCACCTGCAAATCCAGCGCTGGCTCTTTAAAATGAACTCGGAGTTCGGAGGAAACGGGACCGCCTTTTGTGACATTCCTTCGTACCTGCAGTGCTACAAGTGGGTGCTGAAGGAGAGTAACAGATACGGCTCCGAAGACTGGAGAAAGAAGTGGGCCCAGGTGAGTGTTCAGGGTGACTTAAACCACAGGTTAGGAGAGGAGGCAAAGGGCTCAGCTGGAAGACAACTCAGCCCTGCCACCCACAGCACTGGCTTTCTTGGGCTTCAGACCTTATACACAAAATGAATGGGATTCATTTGCCTATTGTAAATGTCCCTGCTCTGCCCCCTACAAATCTTCATTCACCTCTTCAAATCAATTATGATAATTAGGAAGTGATTTTTTAAAAAATCTCATTCAGATAGCACTACCCATCCCATCATTTGTCCTACGCGGATCTTGACCACATGCTGCTAACAACTGTTGTTGTTAAACTGGCTATATTTTATTATGAGATAGGAAGTCTATTAGCAAACAGTTGTTACTTGGAAAAGCTAATGTATAGTAGCATTCTGTCCGCAGTCACATGTTTTTTAAGACAACCCAAAGAAATTCATATAATTCTCCATGAGATGTGGAGCAAATAGTATACACCCAGCAGAAAATCTCCCAGCAAAAGCTGAATAGTAGGTAAGAGATCTTAACATGTGAGTCCATGTATGTTTGTGAGGTGAACGGTATGACCTCTCAGTCTGTTCCCATTTGCTTAATAATTAATTTTATATGCCTTAATATCTATAACACAGTGGTCCCATTTTTGCATCCAGAGATCTATCTAGGCTTCTCTGGCTTCTTTTAATCTCACATCTCGGATTTAGCTGACCTGTTGGTTGAAACGTAACCGATTAGGAAAATTGAGATGCAAATTTCCTTAGCTAGTTCCTTCCCCACTGGCACACATGGGGCAGGCTCTGCAAGGTGATCTGCATCTGCCTTGAGCACCCCACTACAGAAGTATATGAATCAAGACACAGTGATAGGAGGGGAGGGGCCCCCGAGAGGGAGCCACATTATTCTTAGGAAAGCAAACTGATGAATAAATCTAGAGAGCAGTCAGGAGAGAGAGTTCCCTGTGACAAATGTGACAGTTCTCCCCATGATCTATTCTGGGCTTTTTTCCCTCCTCCAGCAGTGAATGGACTAAATGCAGGACCTGTCATGGCCAGCTTTTTACATATTATTTAAAGGATACCAAAGTGAATTCCTCTTTTAGGAGGGGGAGGGGAAGACAAGGAAAATGTATTTAATTTTAAGGCCCAGAGAGGGTTCTCTTTGAACTGGATTTTATTTTATGCTGTATGGGATGTTCTTTTTAAAGCAAAACTATCAAGATTAAACTAGGAAAAAGTATGACTTCCTTACCGAAAAACTGAAACAGTAGTGTGTGAAGTATTTGCTGGCCTCAGTATTTCAAATCTATAATTTTTAAAGCATTCCCCTGCCACTAGACTATGATAAATTTGAAATATTTGACTTTAAGTTTAAAAAATACTTACAATGCTGACATTTGGCTGAATTATATTTACTGTAAATGTCTCACTGTACATTATTTAATTTCAGTTATTTTAAGCTATCCCATTTAAATTGTCGTCAAATATATTTGGCATTGTTACTGTTATTAAATGTGAAACTCTTCAATAATTAATCGTCTATCTAAATCATTTTAACAAGAAAAAATAATTATTCAGACATGTTTTTACAGTCTGAGGCCTGGGCTTCGCCATGACGTGGTAAGAAGCCAAAATTGGAAATAAAAATAAAGCAGTTCTGAAAAGCAGTTTTTTTGTTTTTGTAGCAAACTACTGACATTCGTTTTGCCTTCAGAGTGAAATTGTGTTTGGTGTAGAGGTGAACTACAGTCTCCACTGAGTGCAGCTATTGAGAATTTAGGATTAATATTCTCTTTGTTCCAGGAGACCATTGTAATGGTGCACATTTAGACATCAAAGCATTACTTTATGAGCACAGGCATGTTGTAATGTCCTATTACAGTTTGTAGACCTGTTTCTTTTGATAATGAAGATGTTGTATCATCAAGCCTAGCCCGGCACATACAAAACATATGCTGGCAGGTTATTAAAAATTTCAGCTTCTTGATGAAAGACTATCCTGCAGGCTAAGAGTCCAGAGAAAGACTCCATTCTGAGAGAATTATTAGAAATGAGAATATGACTGTAAGCACTAAATTATGTTAATACTTACAAATAGCATCATTTGCATAGCAGTTTATGACACGATACCATGATTTTTCTCATTGGTATGTTGTAGGCAACAGATTAAAACAGGGCTGTTTATGGGAGTTGGAGCTGTTTTGAGATTCACTTGCATCTTATGAGATATTTGTTTTAGGGGTAGACAGGATTCAGTGTAGACTCAGGTATGTAATATAAAGATCCTCTCTCTCTCTCTCTCTCTCTCTCTCTCTCTCTCTCTCTCTCTCTCTCTCTCTTTGAGACTTGCAACAAAGTCATGGAGTCAACAAATGCTGAAGAGCCATAGGCACATTTAGAAAACCAGTAGAGATATGTAGATGGTTTTGGAAAAGCTGAATATTACACGATGGCCACAGTGAAAGTCACAGCTCTTCCGGTTTTTTTCTGGGTGGCTTGGTACCACGCCTACGCACCTCTCCTATCAGCTAACAAAACTTACTCCCCGGCCCTGGAACAGGTCCCTGTGAGCTCTTTCACTTAAATGCTCAAAGCTTGTTAAGGTTTGGTGAAGCCACACACTGTCACCCACTCCAAATGCCCTGCTTCCCAGCTGGGGGCATCCGTTTTCATTTAAAGCCTTGAACAAAGGAAGGTGCGCTGGTGGGGAGAAGCCTTCCTCGGAAGTCACCCAAGACAGGCACATTATTGTACTATCAATGGCTCCCTCCTGTAGCTTTTCTCTTGTTTCCTTTTTTCTTTTAAAGGGTAAGTCTTCCCTCACTCGATTCCTAGGACATTGGCTTTGTGGCGGTGAGCTGCCCGGGAATGCCGCTCTGCAGGAGCTGTCCATGGAGCAGCTTCTTGTGGAAAGAGCTAAGCCATTTACGGCACTCATTTGGGACTCCGTTACCCAGAAGAGTCTGGGATGTGGAGGTCTTGGTGGAGCTCCCTGTTTTGTCACTGAAAGAGAGAAAGGAAAATTGAATGTGTCTTTAAATGCTACTAGTAAATACTGCCTTTTGCAAGAGCAGCTTTACCTTTACTTATACAGTACTTTGCTTCACTTTCTTAGACATGTATTATTCGTGTGCAGATCACCACAGAGCTGGGGCTAATCCGAGGCACCCAAACCTAGAAAAGGTGGAATAAACTAGAGTTCTTGTTTTGTCTCTTTATAGAACTAAGACAAACAGGGGGCTGGGGATTTAGCTCAGTGGCACAGCGCCTGCCTGGCAAGTGTGAGGTCGTGAGTTCGATTCCCGGTACCAGAAAAAAAACAAAAAAAAAAGAACTAAGACAAACAAAATGTACTGTGATCTCAAGAGAAGCAGCAATCATTCTGCACCTCAGAGCCCTCACTCTCTGTTTTGAAAACCTCCCTCCACTCAGAATGGCCTTGGAACTGGGTCATACGGGCCACTGTTGGATGCTTGAGCGGGATGCCCTGCGTGGAATTTAGTAGGCATTTATTAAGTGAGCCCAACAGTCTTTAACTATATAATTTTAGAAAAGATAATATAACAAAATTAAAGAAACGTTTAACCAAATATGTGCATAATGACTTTCCCCAGTCCTCATTTTTGCATATTAATTTCTAAATGTGCAATGCCTATCTCTCGGAACTGCAACAATACTATGTATCTGAGTAAGCATCCTATTTTAATCATTCTCCATGTTTGTACATAGTCATCACAATTAATGGCTGTATAATATTCCCACACATTGATTAATTCTTGTATATTAAACCATTTACTTAGTTGGAAATTTAGCTTATTTCCACTGGCGGGTGTAGGGAGAAAAGATTTGTTTTTAATTTTAGTTGATTAGGAGAAAGACCCACAAGTAGAATGCTTTATGGCTCTTCTTGCACATATTGTATTTCTAAGAGCCAGTTTCCAAAGCAATTAGAGAATATGCACATCAGCTTTAACCACAGCCTTACTAGTGCTAAATATTATAAACTGTCTTTATTTTAGATGTAAAAAGTGCATCTTATGGTTGCTGTTATTTGATTATTTGCAAGGGATATGCTTTTTCATGTCATCTTTTGTATTTTATATAAAACTGTAACATCTTGGTAAGAAAAATCTGGGTTTTAAGGTTTAAAAAATCTAGGATATCATTTTTCATAATCATTAAACTACATAGAAATGATTATTTCTTTGATCTATATTTGTTTTTGTCCCCTAAAATCTTGACTTCTTAGGCTATCTTTCTGTATCTAGTAGTTGCCAAAATACCGGCATAAGCATGTAATTCAGTTGCTTTTTTTCCCAGTACTGGAATTGAACCCAGGGCCTTCACACTGAGCTACATCCCCAGCCTTTTTGATTCTGAGACAGGATCTTGCTAAACTGCTAAGTTGCCCAGGCTGGTGTCGCACTGTGATCATCCTGCCTCAGCCTCCAAGAGTGTTGGGGTTACAGGCTTGCGCCAGTATCCCTGGCTGAGATTAAGCATTTTATAGAGTTCTCAATACACCACTAAATCCTGGACATTTTCTTGTATTTAATAATAATAATAAATAATATAATAATAGTAGTAGTAGTAGAATGCCTACTTGGTGCAGATACCAAGCATATTACATGAATGGCCTTGTCCAGTCTCAGGCAAACCCTGAGGTTTCTATTCATTTGCTTCCATACCAATTTATTACACTGCCATGATCATTTGAGAGAGCCTATACACTCTCAAAAGGGTTTAAGTTACCTACCTTTACCATCAGAGGTAGCATTAAAAATATCATGAGCACTGAAAACTGTAAGCAACCAAGGACTTGGTTTTTGTTTTGTTTTTATTTTTTTAGTCTGTTGTTCCAGGTTGACGCAGTGGATTCCCTTTTAAGCCGAATGAGTGTTGGGGTAGGCTGATGGCTAAACACTCAGCTATTCAGGGAACATACAGCGTAACACAGAAGCAGCTGGCCTGGGAAGATCCCATAGTCCAAGCACACCTAGGTTAGACTCT